TTCTGCATATAGATTGAAAAGGTATGGAGATAGAAGCCCCTACAGATACTGAAATCTGGTCCCTCACGAGTTAAAGTAGAAGAACAGAAGCAATTTTCAGGACAGGTATATTCAGAGATGCTTTGAAATATCCAAATCTTTGAAGAGAATGATTCCAGTTTATTGTTTTATTTTACTTGTATAGTTTCAGGTAAAATTAATGCTTGTTATTACATTTATCCTTTTATCCGTGCAGAATTTTCAAAAGGAGCTTCTCCATTACTGGTTATAAGTTGGAGTCCTGCCGACACATATATGTGAACATTGTCCTGCTTGTCCAGGCTTACAGGTAACTTGAACTTGTCTCTATCATGCAATTAAGCTTGTGAGTTTCTTTAAGGGATTGGATTTAATCTTCTCTTGGCGAGTTAGGGAGCTCTGGCAGCATAGTTGGTAAGGAGATAAACTGTTCTCTTGAAGTCTCTGCCTCTCTGGTGATTCAAGTCCAGTAGGTCTCAGTAAAAGAAAGATGAGCAGTCTCCTTCCATGTGATTTAGTCAACTCATATCTGACCATCCATAGGTGCATAGGTGGAGGGGGGGAACCAATGAATGGCCAGGTATTAGTCAATTCAGCTCTATAGCAATGTGTTTTTAAACTTGATGACATCTCATGAGATCCTAATTTTAAAAATTTTGTGTGTTCATCAGGCTACCATGCAATCAAGTTGTGGACTGCTGGTAAATTAGTATTTTAAAACACCCAAGTCAAACAAGTGTCTTCAGAAAAGACAGTAACTTACTGCATTGTTGTTGTTAGTTGCCATCAAGTTATTATTGATTCATGATGACCCATATACAATATAACAAAATGTTACCTAGTCCTGCACTATCTACATAATTACTGGTATTTGAAGTTCATTATCGTAGCCACTGTCTATTTTTAGTGCCTTCTAATATAGGAGGATCATCCAGTACTACTGTTATTGTTATGTGCCGTTGAGTTACTTACAACTCATAGAAACCCCATGTACAACAGCCCTGAAACCTGCTCTATCATGTGCCAACTTTACTCTAACACACCTACCTTAATTACCCCAGTCACCGAATCAATCCAGCTCATTGCTCTGGTGGCCTAGTGGCAAGAAGCTATGCTGAAATCCTGAAGGCACATGGTTTGAGGCCATCAGCTGCTCCATGGGAGATTGGTGGGCAATCTCTTCCCATGCAATGAACTGCCTCTGAAAACCCACTGGAGGGTCAGCTATGGGTCAGTTCCGATTTGACAATGTAAAAAAAATATATATATCCAGGACTACACAAGTCAATTGTCTCTGTGTTCCATAGAGTTTTCATTAGCTAGTTTTCACAGGCAGATATCCACATAATTTTCTTCCAGGTCTTAGTCTGGAAGCTTCACTGACACCTTTCCACTATAGGTGACCTTGCTGGTGTTTGAAATACTGGTGGTATAATTTCCAAGCGTCATAGTAACATTCAAGTTATCACAGTACAACAAACTGATAGATGGATAGCAAACTTACTACACAGCCCCATATATTAGGGTTCAAAAATATGCTAAACTTTGGGTCACTGTTAACACCACCAGCCACTCTATAGAAGGAATAAATATGCGGTGGTCTGTTTCCATAACGATGCACAACCTTGAAAATCATATAAAGCAGGCAGTTCTACTGTGTCCATGGTTGCTACATATCAGAATTAACCCAACAGGAAGGGATTGGTTCATTTTTATGATATGAACATAACCAGAGCCTCAGTGGCATCATGGTTAATCACTAACCTGCTAACCCAAATGTCAGTGCTTTAAATGCATCCATCTATGGAAGAAATACTTGGCTATCTACTCCCATAAAGATTATATATCCTAACTGCAGAGGCATTATGGATAACTATAGAACTTTATATATACAGCCTTATATAAATAATAGGGGAGAAAAGAGGTAAGGACTGCACTGGAAAATACTGTGTGATAGTTATATGGGGACATGTGGAATAACTGAATCGAAATTAATTTGACAGACTCTAACAACAAATAGTATAAACTGTCCACTATCCTGGTCTTTTGGACTAATACCTGGGGCTAGAAAATACAAGAAAAGATTAAGAATAAAGAAAGGATCAGAAGGTTAATGAAAAAACTCACTATCTTTGTATGGAGGGTTTTCCCCCCTTCTAGTTACCATGAGACAATAAAATTATAAAGTATCGAAAACACAAACATGAGCAATTTCTTCATGTGATAGCAAAGTACTATATTTTCCACAAAAATGAGAGCACATAAATAGATTAACCATAACATAACATACCCTGTAGATAATAACTCTCCTGAAATTCTGCAGCAGCCGCAGCAGCACCTGTCCACCATGGGTAGCCAATATGACAATTTGCTGACCAAACATAACAGAAATATGACTATGTATATGGTTATTCTGATCTGATCTGCTTTCCTGCATGGGCTTGGAATTTCCCTCTCAATTTCACCTCCTAAATCAGAATTGTCACCACCATGCTGGGCATCAGCACCCTTCCAGGCAGAATCAAAACTTCAACATTAGTTTCTTCTACCTTCCTATGTTGCCATTGTTGTTGTTGTTAGAGGTCATTGAGTGGAGTACAACTCATGACAGATCTGAACATTGTCTTATCCTGTGCCGTCCTCATCATCTGTGACACACTCAAGCCCATTGCAACAACAGTCACTGTGTCAGTCCACCTGGTTGAGGATCTCTTTCTTTTACTGTCCCTCCATCTTTCTTAGCACAATGTCTCTTTCCAAGTAGCAGCCTCTCCTAGCAACAAGTCCAGAGTATGCGAGACGAAGCTTCACCATCCTTGCGTCCAAGGAGCACTCTGGCTTTACTTTCTCTAAGATATATCTATTTGTTCTTTTGCGAGTCCATGAGTATCACAACTCAAGGACTTCAATTATTATTATTATTATTCACTATCTGGCTCTCAGGTGTGTAAGTAGTGATCGAGAAGACCATGACCCAAATCTGGCACACTTTAATCCTCAAACTATAACCTTGCTATGAGTTCTAGTTATCTGGATGGCACATAACAACAATCTCGCAGCAGTAATTCTATTCTTTAATTCTCCTGGGCACCAGTGCTACTGGAAATATTAAATTACTTGAATGCTATCATAGGCAATGAAGTGAAAGGAAGGGACTGTGTTTGAAATAGTGAAGAAATCCTATCTGAGGTATCATGAGATGCTTTATGAAGGCTTCAAGAATGCTATAAGAAGAATTTAAGGGATAGAAAGGTAACCCAGACTGCACAAGAACAAAGCCAGGGAATATTGATTTCTGATTGTTACTGTTAATTAAAGTCCGATTCAATATGGTCCATATTCTCAAAGAGGTCACAGTCTGAAGAAGACTTAACAATAAATTTAAAAGAAGCAGAATTCAGACTAGACAAAGACAACAGAGAGCCAGGAGACCAAGGATATGAATGGAGATGAGGGAGCCATCTGAGCAAGCCAAAGATTCAAGCTAAAGTCTGTGAGATTTTGGATCAATGAAACAAAGAAGCAGAACATTTGAAGTGGGGAAAAAGAGCAAAGACATTGAAGCAAATAGGCTAGTCTGTTATCAGAAGTCACTTGAAAGATAGAAGGTAACTTAAGAGTGGATGAGAAAGGACTCTAAATGTCAAGATAGGAAACAGACTTTATTACTGAAAATCAAGCCCAGATTCAAGGCTAAAAATTAGGGAGAAACAAAATTTCTTTTCCATTTTTCCTGCTTCTTGTCAAAATGGCATTCCAAAATCCATATGAGTATCTTATGGGTAAATGAAGCTATAATCCTCTGTGTCGGGAATAAAAATGATCTGGCAATTCTCACATAATTATCATAATGATTGGTTAAGACCATAATTAAGAAATTGCCGTGTATGTGATAAAATCCTATTAAAATTCAATATACTGGAGTGGTACTGCCAACTCAAAGGCAAAGGGTTCGAATTCACTTGCTGTACCAGTGGAGAAAGATGGGGAATCTCTCTTGCTATGTACAGCTTCTAAAAACCTGTTGGACAGCAAGTTATGAATTAGTTCTGACTCAACAGCACATGACAATTATTTATGAGGGAAAGAGCAGGGCCACATTATGATCCTTTCTTCCATAAACAAAATTAAAAATATACTTACTACTTCGTAATACATGAATGTTTGCTATAAAGACAAACATACCTGAGTTGAGTATATTTGTTTTTCTTCTAATATTAAGTGAAAATATTTTCATAGGTGCTAAAATCATTGTGAGCTATAACTTCTGTGCATTAGGGACAATCAATTTTGGTAAGGAACCTATGGACCATTTTTTACAGTGTGTGCATGTGTGGTGTGGTGTGGTGTGGTGTGGTGTGGTGTGGTGTGGTGTGGTGTGGTGTGCTTTGTAATAAGGAGGGAAAGAAAATTTTCCAAAATCACTGTAGATAAATAGTAGGATTTTTATGGTTTTTAGCTCTGGTGGCCTAGTGGCAAGAAGCTGCACTACAATCTTGAAGGCGTGCAGTTGGAATCCCACCAGCTGCTCCATGGAAAAAGGATGGGGAATCTCCTCCCACATGCTTAACTGCCTCTGAGAACCCACTGGAGGGTCAGCTATGGATCAGTTCCAACTCGATAGTAGAAAACAACAACATGATTTATAGACAGATTTCAGTAGAAGCAAAAAATACCAGGAAAATTTAAGTAATCCAAGATTACTGTGTATCTTCTAATTCTGTAAACTGTAGTTCTTCCTGTATATCCCTAAGGAACAAAAATACATTGCCTGAATCATGCGAAGATTATGACCAAAGATGATCAACTGAAAAATGAGAGTTAAAATTCTCACTGAGATACCAGTAGAGTACCAGTGGGGCAGCCTTGAGAAGTTCAGACAGAGAAAGGAGGGATGTAAAAGAAGATCAAGTGATGCTTTGAAGGAAACAAGCACTGGAAATCTCATTGCTTTTCCTAACTCCAAGGAAATGTCTTCAAAAATGGCCTTGAAGAACCACAGCACCGTCACTCAGTTTATTTTCACTGGCCTGTCTGATGAGCCCCACCTAGAGGCTCTGCTCTTTGTGCTCTTCCTGGTAATTTACATTCTGACCTTAACGGGGAATCTAATGATGTTGTTTGTGGTCAGGACTGATTCCCGTCTCCACACACCCATGTACTTCTTCCTGAGTAATCTGTCATTCTTGGATCTCTGCTTCTCCTCTGTCACTGTGCCCAAGCTGCTGGAAGACCTTCTGTCTGAGAAGAAAACCATCTCAGTAGAAGGCTGCCTGGCTCAGGTCTTCTTTGTGTTTATCACTGCAGGGACCGAAGCCTTTCTGCTCTCGATGATGGCCTATGATCGCTATGCTGCCATCTGCCACCCACTGCTCTATGGTCAGATGATGAGCAACCAGCTCTGTGTGAGGCTTGTGTTGACCTCATGGGGCCTGGCCTCTATTAATTCAACTGTCATTGTGCTTTTGGCTGTTACTCTGGACTTCTGTGAGGCCCAAACTATACACCATTATGTCTGTGAGCTTCCTTCTCTTTTCCCTCTGTCTTGCTCTGATGTCTCAATTCATATCAATATCTTGATCTGTGTTACTGTACTGCATGGGTTTGGAACCTCCCTCCCAATCTTCATCTCCTATGCTCGTATAATCTCCACCATTCTTGGCATCAGCTCCACCACAGGCAGGAACAAAGCCTTCAACACCTGTTCCTCTCACCTCATTGCAGTATTTCTGTTCTTTGGTTCAGGTTTGGTTCGCTATCTCATGCCCACCTCTGGTTCTTCCCTTGATTTGCTTGCCTCCCTGCAGTACAGTGTGATCACTCCCATGCTGAATCCCCTCATCTACAGTCTAAAGAACAATGATGTGAAGGCAGCTGTAAAAAGAACACTGGGATACTATTTGTAATCATTTAGGTAGTGAACAAAGACACAGAGTAATAGAAAATAGCAAGAAGTAGAAAACAACCTAAGTGCCTATCAACAAACAAATGGATAGAGAAGCTATGGTATATTCACACAATGGAATACTACACTGCATTGAAAAACAAGGAACTCATGCAATTTTATTCAAAATGGGCGACCCTGGAGGACATTATGCTGAATGAAGTATCTCAGTCACAAAAGGACAAATACTGCATGGTGCCACTATTGTAAAACAGGACTGACCTCAGGGTTGGGGGGAGATTGAGAAAGATGGGTTCAATAATGTATACTGCACTGAAACATATAAGGGAGAAAACTGTATAAAAGGGATTTGTGATTAGGTATTTTTGTCATGACAGGAGTCCAGAGCGAAGGCTGCATAGAGGAGTGGACCTGGGGGGAGGGGTTGCAAAACAATGAAAGAATTTGTCTTTTTATTTTCCAAGAGGGTTAGTGTACTAGGGGGGAAGGATTTGGAGGGGAGAAAAGTGGAACAATGAATGAATGGAAATCCAAAGTCTCTGTAAATTTTAATTGAAATTTAAAATAAAGAAAGAAATGCTGAGCGAGTTCAGCCCCTTTAATTTTTCTGACTCTAGCTCTTTGCACATTTCATTATACTTTATCTTCGCCATGCTGCCCTTTGAAATCTTCTGTTCAACTCCTTACTTTCTTTTTTTTTTTT